GTCGCGCGCGAGTGGGGGTGGCGCTATTATGCAGTTCACTTGGCCTCTGAAAAAACATTTCCTCAAAGGTATTTTGAATCTGAAAAGAGCTTCACTGAGTGAGAAGTAGTGTTGAGGGCAGCAGACATTTTTAAGTTTCAATTTCACTTTACTCTGTTACTGCCAAGAGCCTGCAGGAGTCATGGGCGGAGTTTGTGGGGTGGGGGGTGGGGAGGTGTGCTCCGTGATGAGGAAGTTCGGCTTAAAGACACGTCCCAGGGGCGTTCCTGGTTCCCACCTGTCGTTTTGCTCCTCAACATGGCTGCCTAAAAACGCTGCAGGATTTCTCAAACATGCATGAATGAGTCAAAGCAAGGCTTTGGGCGTGTTTTTAATGAGAGTATAACATTATAATATGATATAAAACTCAAAAAAGTTGATTTTACATGATATTGCCCCTTTAAAGGTTTTTAGTGGCTGCAATGTCTGCTTACAATAAGTATGCTGATGTGATTGTGAAGCAATCTTCACACATACTTACTCACATGCACTCACACTGTGAGAGGGCAGCATGCCAGGGGAAAAAATAATTCACCAGCAGGGGTTTGTTTGGCAGACTAAGTTCTGCCTGCTGCAGCGAGCACAAAAAATCTCTAGAAAAACATCTCAGTCCTGAAAACAAGAGCTTCATCTGAAGGGAGGTTTTTTTTTTTAAATTCAACTTCAAGCTCTAAGTTTTCAACCCATCAACTCAAATATTATAAATAAAAGTAATAGTTCAACACAATGATGAGAATCTCTTGAGTTATTTGCAAAGTGAAGAATCAGACTGAAGTACTTTCTTTTATTTCTACATATTGGTTCTGTTTTAACAGGTACAAATGTGATTTAAGTGTGACAAATAATCTTCCTTTTCATGCTTCATTTAAATCAAAAAGTAAAATATGTGAAACTTCAGTCAAAGCTTTTCCCCCAGCTTCTTCAGGAACACGACACAATGTTAACAACCGACACCTTTTCTCCTTTACATCGCCGAAGTCCAGCTTCGCACTCATTCATGGTTTGTGGGGCCGCCGTCGCATCCTCGCCAACACGGACGCACACGTCTGAGCCAGGGGTCGAGCAGTTTGCAGATTCTTTACAGCGACACTCATTGCTTTGAGCTAACAAAACATTATGAGGATGAAGGAGATGGGTGAATTAAAAAAAGAAAACATCTTATGCAATCATTGATCACTTAATACCCTTCAACGGTCCTACCATCACAGTCCTCCCACATGTGGCAGCTGCTGCAGCCTGTTGTGTTGCGTTGTGGCCATATGCAGTGGTTGTACTCTGRTATCTGGAGGATTTTCCCCTTGCACTGCAACGCATGCATTTTGCACACAGACAGAGGAACAAATCGTCTGTTTTCTGGAATCATGGCACACAACTCCAGCGAGGAACTGATGACAAAAAGGAAAAAAACAAACAAACAATCAAATCAAACATTTTGAAAACGATTTGATGACCACATTGGTGATGAGCAGACCTGCARTCGGTATGCGTTTTGCAAACGCAGCTTCCTCTGGAAGGTTTCTCCCATGGTTGACATTGTACTTCAGGATAAATGGGTTTCTGTTTTGTATCACCTGTGAGACGGACACAAACAAATCACATGCACCACATACTGATATACTGTAGCACAATGACAAACAAGCCTGTGACAGTCGTCTGTCATTCACACTGAATCGTGAATATCTTTGCAAACCGAGAAAACTAATACCTTGGATGCATCTAACTTCTGCTGGGTCTGGAGAAAAATGRAAACTGGAGTCACAACTAGAGGTTCTTTCCCCCTGCAACTCTTTCCCCTCTGGACACGACAAYGAAATGGTCTCCCCAAGGTGGTAAGCGTCTTGTAAAGGAAATCCTATGACATCATCAGCGAGTAAAGGAAGTTTGCACACTGAAACTGAGAAAAAAAAAACATAAACACATTTAAAAAAATAAATAAATAATACATTCTGGGATAACAAATCTTATTTTAAAAGTAAATGCACGTATACCTGCACACAGACCAGGACTGGCAGACCAGATCTGTTCAGGGGTGCATTCTAGGACGTTACCAAGAAGATGGAAACCAGCGGTGCAAGTGTATTCAACTTTATCACCAACAAAGTAATGGTCCTTAGGGTTCTGTGGAGGATGTGTGGATGTATACAGAAGAATGCACTCACAAACTAGGTGCAGCAAATCATTTATCCAAATTCAATGTTGAGTTAGGCTAAAACAGGGGTCTGCAACTTTTACAATCCAAAGAGACATTTTTCCCTCATTCATCTGAAACAATTTTTGCCTGGAGCCACAAAACCTACATGACCTTTCAAAAAATTAATAATAAAAATGTATTAAAGTACTTCCTTATTGGGGCTACAACACATTTTGTAAACTAAATATTTTAGCTGCTAAAATATGTAGTTCTTTACTAATTTGTACTGTACCACAATATGCAGTTAGTCTCTCTCCTTACCAGGATGTAGCCATTGATTAGACTTGGTGGAGTGTCACATTTCTGACGTTCTGGAAGAGAGGCATCAAAGCACTGAGGCTCCATGGTTCTAAAAAAAGTAATACAAAATAGCACATGGTAAAAGCAGGGATTTAAAATAAAACGTTTTTTCATAAATCATATTTAACACATTTCCAAACGGTGTCGTTTCTCTCTGACTTTAGGTACTGCAGCTCCTCCTCGTCATCGCAGCGAGACGACTCGTTTGCTTCTCCGATGCAGTGCTGTCCACCGTTCTGAGGCGAGGGATTGGAGCAGGATCGACTGCGTGACTTTCGATCCCCGGAGCACAGAGACCAGGCAGACCAACAAGACCAGCTACCGTCAATCACTCCTTAATCAGTTGGATTATAAGAGAAGAGAAAATAAGCTGTTAAAAAGTAACTAAAATGAGACTCACTGAAGGCAGTGCTCACCCTGTTGGCCTTGTACATCTGTTCCACCCTCACAGGCCTCTCCGGTTGTGCCAGGCTTGCAGATGCATTTGCACGTGTCTCCGTCTCTGACGGCCATGCCGTTGTTTCTGCAGGGCTGGCAGTGGCAGGCGTGGCTCTCTGCRAGGTATTGCTCTATGGCCCTGCGTAGGTAGAGCTTCTTCGCCCCGCTACACTGAACCTCTTTAACCAGTTCTGATAGCAGTCGCAGCTGGTGAAACAAGAGTCAGAGTCAAGTCGTGGCGAAAAGACGACGCCTTCAAATTAACGTAGGAGAACGTTTCATTTTCCCCTCCACCTTTTGTTTTACGACATGTGGAAATGATCGAATGGAGTCGGCCCAGTTCGAGTACATTTCCCAGTTCTTGCTTTGATCGTCGAGCTGCATTCCCTGCAGAGCTGCGATATGTGAGAGTCCACCTCCCTCCACAAGCACTTTGGCCACATTGTTGTTTCTGGTAGACCCTATTTCATAAACATTTAAAAAGAGGGTATAATGAGAGGGAGATTTAAAAACACCGAATGTGATTTAAAATGTGCACCCAAAATGTACCAGTGATTGATGTGCCTCCACCATCACGCTTTATACAATCCACTTTTGTAATAGGGAAGAAAAGGACCCAGCGTTTAGTCCTTTCACATTCACGTTGTACCAAGACTTCTTGAGCTTAAAGGGGAAAAAAACAGTTCAAGAAGTTAATGACAAGATTGAGCAGGAGAGTAATCACATTTTTCTAAAGTGTGATTAAAACGTCTGTGGTACATTTAAATGCCAAATAAAAACATGCAACAGGAGGTCTTTTTAAACTAGTCTTTGCAAAGTGGGGTTAGTCAAAAATCAACACAAATCATTTAATCTTCACTATTGATCCTGCTGCGATATCTAATTTGGAAAAAAAACAAACCAAAGACTGAACATAAAGTCTTACATGTGTATTTTTGAGTTTCTTCATCAACCGAAACAATGGCTTTAAAGAAGCCCCCCAGGCTTCCCTCAGATACGTAGTGCGTTCCAAATTTCTCCAAAATCTCCCTGTAGGCTGAGTAGTCATAGACWACTGGGAGTTTGGCCAGTGCCTTCCAAAACTCCTCAGCTATTGGGAGGTACTTGGGAGAGTTACTCTGGAACTGAGCAATCTCGACTTCGTTCTTCAACACCAGAAGCCTGCGAGTCTAAAGAAAATAAGGAAAGKGTGTTTATTTCAATTAATTATATACATACATTTGTGAAATTTGTTGATTAAAGTTGCAAAGTGAAAATGAAATCATGCCTGAGTCGTGTCTTGTGTCTCGTGGAAGTCATAATTGCGAAAACCTGTTGTAGTTCCTTTAACGGTCTCTCTCTGGACAATATCCTTGGCGTAGTGCCATTTACTGGAGAACATTTCATCACTAAAGTCATTCTGGACTTTAACCTGAGGATACAGCAAAGTCAGTAATGTATTTTTTGGCACTTTAGAATCAACATAGGGTAAATTAAACTGTACTATGTTACCATGCTGAATCTATATAGACTTTTTTCTCAGAGCTCCTATTTTCTTTTGTTTTCCAAAATGAACGCAAAGACTTTGGAATATTGAAAAGTCAAAGGTTAAGCTCTCTGTGAGACACAYCTAAATATTGTCTGCTCAACAGCTAGTCTGGAACACTTTAAACTAATAATACACAGTAAATTAGGATATGACAATTTAAACTCACACCCCAGATAAATCACAGAAAGATACAATACATGCAGCTGTCTACATTCCAGTATTTTTGACCAATAAGCTGATCAGTCAGAGTGGACTTAGAAGGTCATTTGTTAAAGAGGAAGTACTATTGAGTATTGTTTGTACTAAATACAATTTTTATATGAGTGTATTGGTTAAATCATCTACCAAAAAATAATATAACCCTGACAGATTCACAAGACGAGACACTGAAGGTCTCACACTGACATCAATCACTACAAATGAAACAATTAGCAGATCCCCGAATTGCAGCAAGGAATGCACCAATTTCATTACTGATGAAAGTTTAAGTAAAGCTGTGTGTTTTAATAGTAAAATATCTTATCTGACTTGTACAAACACAAAAAACAAAAAGCACAGAAATGAATTGTAATAATTTTGGGTGTACAAACCAAAAAGTTGTATTGTATTGTGCTGAGGGGCAGCCGATAGAGCCTGTTGGAGACGCCGCTGAAGAAGGGTCGACACTGACCTCCAAAGCTCTTTGTGTTGATGACAGTGCCCCTTGTCMTTCCGGTCACCACATCAAACCTACAAAAAAGAAAAAAAACTCTGATTTGGTATTGATATTAAAGCAGGTGCGTAAAACCTCTGGTAAATACAAACATGTTTATGTTASGAACTGTCGATTACCCAAATCCAAGTATTTCAATGTTGGGTGGTGGGTTTGGTGGAACTGCACAMACAATGTACTTTTTATCGTCACATTGTAGTTCATCGAGTCCATCTCCCTCACAGTCCTGATCTCCATTACACAGCAGGGACTTGCTGATGCACTTTCCTGRGGGTCAAAAGGCAAACAGAAAACTCTCTTATTATTCTACATTTTTTGTTTTCATATTTTTGGAATATTCAAAGCAGTAGTTTGATTAATAACCTGATCGACAACGAAACCTATCTCCACATCCGTCCTCCAAAGGGCAGCCTTGTGTGGTTTCACAGGTCCTGGTCTCAGTCCGCCCACCACCACAGGAGTTGCCACCAAACTGAGCGTAGGAAACCATGGCTCGGCTTCTTGTCTGCAACAAACAACAGTCAAGAATATTTGAAATAAAATAATTACACAGACTTCAAAGTTTACAAACAGGCTTAATTTTCTCAAAATCTTCCATACCTGTCGTTTGGTGCAAGGATCACATTCTGACCAGCTGCCAAAGGGACCCCACTGGCAGTGGACTCTCTGAATGCATACCCTTTGAAATCACATTTTGTATCAAGTGATTAGTAAAAATATGGAGTAAATAAATGTAATTCAATGAAAATCATTGTATTGTTTTTAACATCTACATAGTCATTATTTGAGACAAGAAAACAGATTTACACTTTGCTCGTGAAAAAGACAAACAGCAAAACTGCTGCACAGATTTGCGTGACAGTCTGAGAAAACAGAAAAGTGAAAGGAAACAAGCATTACAAACATGAAAAGTGAAAATTACTGCAACATGTCTAAAATTTGCATTTGCTATTTCTTTGCTGCAAAGAACAAAATGTACTTGCCTTCATGGTGGCTGAAGTCAAACAAACAGCAGAAATGTGCAGAATTTTCACTCTGGGGGGTGTGTCTAAACTGGAAATACACCCTCATGGAATTAGTTATTTTTCCAAGGAAATCATATAAAAAGGAACAAAACAATACATGAGTATGGGGGTTGTTTCTTTTGGAGAGAAAGGAAAATAAATTTTAAGCTGCTCTTGCTGAAATATTTGTCCAAAGAGTCATTCTGAAAGTTTCTGGCCTCAGATGTTTTAGTGAAAGCAGATGCTTCAGTGAAAACTCTGTGTTTGTTTAAGAGTTGAAGGCAGCCAGAATGAAACAGTTTTTAATCTGTGACTCCTCAGTGCTGTCTAAAAGGTTTGGAAGGTTCTTCTTATCTGTTAAAAGTTATAACAAATGTGTTTTTTTCCCATGCATTTTAGAAAAAAAAAGTGGGCTGGTTAAAAGTCAACAGATTGCTTCTCAACAACACTGAACTTGGTGTTAAACCTCTTGTATTATTAACGGATCTGTCCTTAACTTAAAATAATAAACAACGGATATTCATCAATATCAGATGATCAAGAAAAGAAAAGAAAACTCGCTGTATTAGTGTGAAAGGAAAAGGCTGTCTTGTAAATCAGGATTAAACTTTCAAAACTTAAGYTTAGGTTCTTTCAACAGTTTTTCATCTCAGTAATTATGAGCCTCTAAATCCTTGTAGCTGTCTCTTTTATATTTTATATTTTGTCAAATTTTCTTGTTCTACGAGCTGGAGTTCATTTAATGTTGAACCTGAGCTGTGATTTAGTTGAGCAAACACTGGGGGGCAACAGAGATTTGAGATCCTCTCCACAACTGAAACAAAATTCAGTCTTGACCTGACATGTGAACATTTTAGGTAAGAAATGGAAACGCTTCAATGTGGTAAAATTAAATGTTGAATCTTTTGAAGTGGTGATGTAACAGTAGACATCTCTAGCAGTCCAACTTGAAAGTTTTTGTTTATTTCCTATATTTGCCTGTGTTACTCTCTACTTTCTGCAATTATGGATGCATTTGCAGTTGAGGCATCACATTCTTCTGGCAGCTGAAAAAGCTACACTTATTGTTGCATTTAAAAAACATTTATTTCTTTTTTTTTTGTCACAGGAGAGATAAGATTTCTACAAATAATCATGACCCAAATTCTGTCAACTTTGTTACAGATTTACGATATCAAATAAGCATAAAGCCTTACTTGAAGTTAGTTACATTGAAAAAAAGAACAATTATATAGTTTAATTAGTAGCTGTGGAAATTTCTATTTTTTGTTTCCTACAAAATAACAGAATTAGAGAAGGCATTAGAAACACAAATAGAAGCAAGCAAACACAATCTCAGTCRATAACAGGTAAAAAATAAAATAAAACAACGAACCAAAAAATGAACACCACAAAAATTATCTTGAAAACAAAAAAACACATATTGTGACACATTTAGCTTAATGTCTGTAAAATTGACATATTTGAAGCCTTTTTTGTATTGACTAATGTTGATGAGCTGTAATAACCATCTGTGAAATTGGTTTAACTCCAAAAGTTTTTAAGAATTTGTCTAATGACAGAGTTGTGTATCTATTTATATTTACTATGTTTTTTATTCTTAGCTCACTGAAAAGAGCATAATCCATCCGTCTGTCTGTTTTCTGCCGCTTATTCGGGGTCGGGTCGTGGGGGTAACATCCTAAGCAGAGAGACCCAGACTTCCCTCTCCCCAGCCACTTGGGCCAGCTCGTCCCGGGGAATCCCAAGGTGTTTCCAGGTCAGCCGGGAAACATAGTCCCTCCAGCATGTCCTGGGTCTTCCTCTGGGTCTCCTCCCAGTGGGACATGCCTGGAACACCTCACCAGGGAGGCGTCCAGGAGGCATCCTAACCAGATGCCCGAGCCACCTCAACTGGCTCCTCTCGACGTGGAGGAGCAGCGGCTCTACTCTGAGTCCCTCCCAGATGACTGAGCTTCTCACCCTATCTCTAAGGGAGAGCCCAGACACCCTGCAGAGGAAACTCACTTCTGCCGCTTGTATCCATGATCTCATTCTTTCGTCACTACCCAAAGCTCGTGACCATAGATGAGGGTAGGAACGCAGACCGACTGATAAATCGAGAGCTTTGCCTTCTGGCTCAGCTCTCTCTTCACCACGACAGACCGGTACAGCGCTCGTATCACTGCAGACACAGCACCAATCCACCTGTCGATCTCCTGCTCCATTCTTTCTTCATTCGTAAACAAGACCCTGAGATACTTAATCTCCTTCACTTGGGGCAGGACCTCCTCCCCGACCCAGAAGCGGCATGCTACCGTTTTCTGGCTCAAGACCATGGTCTCAGATTTGGAGGCACTGATCCTCATCCRYYCRYRTTCACACTSGYCRGTGAACCGCTCCAGTGAGAGCTGGAGATCAGGATCTGATGAAGCCAATAGGGCCACATCATCCGCAAAACCAGAGATGTGATCCTAAGGTCACCATAAAGGATCCCCTCTGCACCTCGGCTGCGCCTAGAAATTCTGTCCATAAAAGTTATGAACAGAATCGGTGAAAAAGGGCAACCTTGGCGGAGTCCAACTCTCACCAGAAACGAGTCCGACTTACTACCGGCAATGCGGACCAAGCTCTGGCACCGGTCGTACAGAGACTCAACAGCCCATATCGACGGACCTGGTACCCCATACTCATGGAGTACCCCCCACAGGAGTCTCCGAGGGACATGGTTGAACGCCTTCTCCAAGATCACAAAACACATGTAGACTGGTTAGGTGAACTCCCACGCACCCTCCAGGACCCTGCTGAGGGTGTAGAGGTGGTCCGCTGTTTCACGYCCAGGACGAAAACCACACTGCTCTTCCTGAATCCAAGATTCGACTATCCAACGGACCCTCCTCTCCAGGACCCATGAATAGGCCTTACCAGAGAGGCTCAGAAGCATAATCTACTWTCTTAAATACTGATAATGATATTGTAAAAACTAAACTTTTAAAATTTCAAAAAATAAAAAAATACTAAGAAACCATATGAGGATGCTGTCACCTCCAGTCATGATGCAAGTTTCTGACAATCAGAATTGAAGTCATGCATCACATTTTTCTGCACCGACAGAGATAATGAATGCAAAAATGACTTCTTATTTCTGAAAATTTCACCCACTGCTGAATGACTCAGCAACTGTACGACAGCAAGCCAATCCCCAGCTCCCCGGGCTAGAAGAGCACATCTAACAGTTCAGACAGGAGGCCACCAGAGCYTGCCCTCTATTAGTTCCGCCTCTGTGGCCTGATGATATTCAGAGGGTCATCTTTGACCGCCATCTGCCTGGAAGTTTGGCCCGATGGAGTCGGGCTCAGACAGACGAGTTTCTGCTGCTTTTTGTGCACGCTTATGTCTTCATAAATGTATTTGTACATCCCGRCTGGAAAACCCATCCCCTCACTCARAGTATTTGAAACAGTATTGTCCTTGCTGTCCAAGTTCATATCAAGTTTATTACTTTGATGGTTTACCTAATATCCTAATACAACACAGCAAAATAAGCTGTTTGTCAAAGATTTGGTAAATTTTGCATGTGCACAACCCTCATACTCAACTCTACTGCTCATCCCACAAATGCATGTTCCTTACAAATGTGGCACCATTTGAAAGGYAAATTAAACACTAATTTGTGCTAAGTTATAARCTCCAGTGAGTTTTGGGTCTGCCCTGAGGTCTCTCCCCAGTGGCATTTGCCCAGAAAACTTCCAAAGGGCGGCCAAGAACTGGTAGGATCACAATCTTCGCCACTGGCCGAGTGTAAGTTCTGTCCTTTATGTTGATGTCAGCAGACCGGATGTGCCCATCTGGGCTGGGGTACACCTTGGAGATGCGGCCAATGAGCCAGGGCGGCCTCCAGAGGGCATCCCAATCAGATGCCTGAATCATTTCAACTGACTTGTTCTGATGCAAAGGAGCTACAGATCTACTCCAAGTTCTCCCTGAATGACGTAGCTCCTCACGCTATCTGTAGCTTAAACTCAGACCATTTTCAGTGGGTAAACAAGACTTCTGATTTGTGAATCTTTAGGTGAGTAAATTAAACAACTGCTGAGCCTCTACTTTTTTTGTCTCTTTGCCACATCACCTGCTCTGACGCAAGCATTTGTCATTTCGACCTGCTGTTAGCTTGTATACACCTTTGTTGTGTTAATTTACTGCTTTATGCAAAACCAAACTTTACCACATTTGTTGGCATTTCAGTTTCAATTCATTTAAAAAATGTTCATTTTATTAAAAATAACTATGTACAATTAAAAAAAAGAAAATACACAAATCAAAAATCAAAATAAAACGAAAGGTAGAAGAGGAAGTATAAATCTTATAATGTCTGCCCCTTTTATCCCCAGAATATATTCAAACAAAATGTAATTTACAAAATGACACAAATAAAAATAAAAACATCAACTCAAACAACAATTCATATAGCTTCGCATTTTACTTTTTCATATACCTTCAGAAAACTAGCTTTTATCTCTTTTAAATATATACATAGATCTGGCATTTTTAAGATCATCCTCCAGACCATTCCACAATCCTATACACTGGATTAAAGTACATCTTTCTCTCAAGCAAGTATGAAAATATGGCTGCACAAACATTTCCATCCCCTTCAGATAATAACAACTGTCTCTCTTAACAAAATTTGCCTGAATGTTGGAAGGTAATTTGTTTCTGTGAGTCTTGTACATAAACAGTAAAATTTTATAGTCAACCAAATCATGGAATTTCAAAATTTTCAGTTTGCAAAATAATGTATTTGATGGATGGTTGTAATCTTTTCTCGTGATAATTCTTATGGCTCTTTTATAATTCTTATGACTCTTTTAGCTATTTCAGTTGTCACCCTGRACACATGTACCTTCAGAGCAGAAACAGAAGTGCCTGGTAAAATCACTCCTCCTCCTCCACACTCTCCAAACTTTCATAAAACTGCTCATCTCGCCACTGCCCCTCTTTAAACTGTCTGAATGCCATCATCCATCTCTGCCTCCTACACCTTTACCTCCTCTTCACTGCTGTGTGCGTGACAGAGACAGACACTAACGTCCACACGCTCTCAGACACACAAGACTGCATTTGCATTCTTGTTTCTTCCACAAACGGCAATTTGTGCAGAACTGTGTCGGAGCTTTTTTGAAAGTTTTCTTTGTTCAGCTCATTTAAAGACCTGCAGTTATTTGATCAAACAGAAAATAAAACAACAAAACTCACAAATTAATGTTTTTAAGAACCTTCTTGATTCGAAAAAAAAAAGAAATTACTGAAAGTGCAGCTATTTCTCTCAGCTACTATAAAACATGCAAACAAAGAAAGTGATACTCATTCTGCTTTAGTGTTAGATTATCACCATTAACACATCACAGTCGGTGGCTTCTGGGGAAGAATTCTGCTAATTGCTCCTAACAGTCACCTTACTTGTTAAAGGGATAGTTCAGATCTTTTTTAAGTGACGTTCTGTGGAAATTATGTGGAAATAAAGTGTAATTTTGAGCAGTTAGTTTGCCAAGACCAAGGTGGGCTCTCACCATTTTAAAACATCTCCAATCTCAAAAGTTTTGTAGCATTTTTGTAGCAAATGTTAGTTCATGCACTTTTACACTACTGTGACTTTTGCATTAAAGAAATATAATAACATTCATTCATGATGTGCTATGCTTTCTCTGTACCTGTTCAGGAGTTTTTGAAACTGGAGTTGTCTTAAGATGGCAGCCTGGTCCTTGCTGCATTTAAATTAGCCATTAGCTTGTCAGTCTAAAACTAAGCTTTAGCTCTTTCAACTAAGATCATTAGTGGAGCTACAGAATAAAATGTAGGATATTGTTTACAAAGGGTCACTTAGCCTTGTCTGGAGTAAGACGTTTGCTTCCTTTTCCATACTCCTTGCTCTGTAACTGATGTCTGATAATGTACTAACTGTTGAACTATTTGACAAAACATCACTTCAGAAGTAACCAGACTATACACTTTAATACGCCATTTCATAGTTAAAAAAGTAACACATGTGCAATGCAGCAGAGTTCTGACATCTTGTGGTATAAATACTTGGATTGCGTTGGAAACACCACTGAAACTGAACAAATTCAACCAGTAAATTGACACTGTTACAGACCCAATGTACAGTATTTGCACCAAACAGATTTGTGTTAAACTTTTCTCAAAGATCACAGATTAAATTATTCAAATAATTTAAATGTAATTACATGATTTAAATAGCTATAAATCTGCTTTTTGAGCTTGATGAATTTGTACAATTCCATTGTCTTTTCCATAGAAAACTCAGCGTTTTGACCTGTGACCTGAAAGYGTTTAGCTCTGCTACGCACCCTCAAAACTACAAAATGGTCTATTGTGCTGTAAAACAAGATGAAAAATACTGAGTCCTTCACTACTAACAAATGTTTTCACTTTTRAACACCTGATGCTACTAAACAAGCTTTGTAAAATCAGCCCAGGTGTTYCCGCCAGTGCTTTTCATGCTCTTATCTGCAGACATTGAAATAGCTTCTTGCAGGCTAGCTTGAAGTCTGAAGATCCGTACAAACTCTAAAAGGTATAACTTTTGCACTTTAAATGAACATGCTGCTATATAATACCTGCCACAGTCAAGGCACTAATCAACCAATGACCACTTGACATAAGAGAATCTCTTCAAACAATGACACTTCAACTCAAAGGCATAGAAGCTTTATTTGATGGGGCGTTTTCCACGTAGAACAGAGTCACTTTATTTTGAGCAAAATGTTTGGGAGTTTCACAACAGCAAAAGGACTCTTTTCACATCAGATAACAAGGGCAATGACAACAGTTTGGACCAAGAAAGACACAACACAATTTGCAGCCTTCATATTTATGTGGTTTGGGCGAACAGGTTGTGGCAGTGCAACAAGTCAAAAATGAAATGATTTTCTTGTTGTTTTGTTTTAAAGGGTAGGAACATTTCTATTTTCGATGCACACAGGCTGTTCAGAGCAATACGCAAAATAGACAACGGATTTATTTGTAGAAACTTTTCTTTCATGCACACAAGTGAAGAATACATTTTAAAAAATGAGAGCAGTTTGGCAACTTACTTAAGGTACAATTTGTATAAATGTGAATGACTTGTTAGAACTGAATTTACATGTTGTTGGCAATGCACTATTTGCAATTGCAGAATGTAGAAATGCTCCACAATATAAAACATTTGTCATGGAATCACATAGAAGAAGGTGTTGAAGCTTATAATACAAACATGACTTTCAGGCTGCAACTCAGTCACTCAGAGGAGACGTTTAGAAATGGCACAGTTACTCACAGAACACATACATTCACCAACTCCYAGAGCTGACATTTTTATATTTATTTGAATTTTGGCTGCACAATATTAAACTTGACCACAACATCCTGGCAGGAATACATTCTGTACAGAAATGCCACATTAATCATAAGGAGTGGGAATAACTGACAGATATAAGATTTATTTTTCCTGCATAATTAGTAAAATCATGTTTTATTTTAATATGCTTCATGAACTCAAAATTACCAGTAAAATTTTATAAAATAAAAGCACCAAAAATAAAAAAAACAAGAATAAAGGGTGCAGAATTGTGCTGCTCCAGCACTTACACAAGATCAGTTCAGAGATTTAGAAACATATCTCCATTAAAGAGCTACAATTAGATTATATCTGTACATGGTGACATTTACACTCCCTGACCCGCCCTGACCCTTTTAACACTTGAAGTAAATGAAGAAGTTTTATCACCTGTTATTATCAAAGACACAACACAACAGTGCATCTCATGATGACTCATATTCGCCGCACTWGAGCGGCAAGTCCAAATAAACACAGAGAGGGCAAGCTACCAGCAAAGGAGAGACAGACACTGAAACGGTTACACTCTTGTGCCTAAATATAACGTATTTTCGCACTTTGCTGTCACGACTCAGAAACCACCACATAGTACAATGAATGCTTCATAATAACCATTAGAAATGGCTGGCCGCGTTTAGTGCATTTCCTACAGCGAGGCCCGATGCTTGTCTTGTGTTTTCAAATGCATCATAAATGTGAGTTGTTGTGAAGGGCAGGAACAGAACATGTATGTAACAACACAGTTGGTGCTTTTCCAACAGCTAGCCAAGCTGCACTCTCGCTTTCTCTCTTCTTTTTGTGGTTTTGAATCAGTGACTCTATGCTTAAAATCAATCAATGCACACTTTCACATAGGACTGCCTGGCAAATGCAATCCGACTTCAGTAGAGGCCATTTACTGTGTGAAAACCCAATGGGAGATTAATACAAGAGGGGGTAGTTTATTTCTTGTTCGTGTAATAAATAAACACGTTGCAACAACACATTTTAAACACACACTGCATTCAAGCTGCTGGAGGTGTTTAAAAAGAAAAGAAAAAAAGAAACCACCCACAGGGATTTGACTGGGGATGCATATTGTTTGAAAAGGACATAAAAAAAGGCTGCACTTGGACTGATTTTCTAAACCAGACAGAGAAAAGCAAGCTACATATACCAGCCAATAATTTCAGTTACACATACAGTAATTATTTAAACATCCTCAAACAAACTGTTACTATCACTATATTAAGACTTGTGTTAAAGGTACAGTTAGTAGCGTTGTTATGCCCTAAGGAACCTGTGTTTGAACAGTGCATTTGATCAGTGGGGAAAAGCAGGGATTTTTTACAGCGGGAAATGAGCAACAAACCTGGAAAACAAAAAAAAAGTTTTTATACCCCCCACCCCCAAAACAGGACACAAACAAACCTCATTCTCATGGTGCTCCAACCCAACATCAGCGTTTTATTTTTARCAGCTTTCACATTTCTCTTCTCAGTCCACTATAGCCCTAAATAAAGTGAAAGGAAGTGTGCAGCTTCCCTCCTGAAATAAATGCCAAAGAGGAAAACGGGTGAGAGCCCAGACTCAACCACTCCGCCTACTGTGGCGGCAGCTGCGCTCTCTGACACCCCCCCGCGTCGGGCTCTCAGGTCGCGTCATCGTCGTCTTCCTCCAGGTGATGGTAGTTCAGACTGATGACGGCGCTGATGAATTCTCCCAGCTCGACGAAATCCGCTGTGATGATGTTGATGCCGCTCTCCCCGGGTCGTTGTGATCTGATCCACTGCATCATGCCCGGTAACGCCCTGCGAAGAAAGCAAGGCGTTCAGATACTTATTTTGTGTTTGTGAGAAGAGTTCAAAAGATGAGAATACTTTACAACTCCAGTTCAGAGCAGTCTGGGGTGTTGTGTAAAATGTAAATTAAAAACCAAATGTAGTGATCTGAAAATCTCAGAAACCCACAATTTGTTAACAGTAGAATATAGTYAACAAATCAAATCTTTAAACTAAGAAATACCACCTTTTTTGGGGGTAGGGTAGTTTTGAACTTATGGCAGCAATATACCTCAAACAAGACAACAAAAAGGCAACAAAAGCATGTAAAAGTAAGTTACATGGTTAAAAAAAAAAAAACAGCTAGAAGAGCATTGTTAAACAAGCCAGAAGAGCAGCTGGTTTGAGCCCATTGAATGTGAGCATGCAGCTGATGTTCCCATTTTTTCCCATCACCATAGTTACCAAAAAAAAAGCTTTTGCTTCGCAAAAAAAAAACTGATCGTTGAGTGGGGGGAAAACACAATATTCAACCACCATTATTGTTGTTTATATACTTTTTGGAGCTGAGGGAGGGCGGAGGAAGGAATTATGATAATTTATGGCCTGCCGCGTCTTCAGCTCATTTATACTTGTTCAGGAAAAGATGTCCAAAATAACATAATAATCAACCCACTGTCTTACATCGTATTGAATTTTAACTCAAGCTTTAGCTTAATTGACAACAGGTCAGTAACATAAAAAGAGCATTCTAGAAAAGCTGAATCTCTCTGAAGTAAAGATGGGCAGGGCATCCCCAGCTGCAGTGGTGCTGTGGCTCTGTACCAGCTCTTCATGGAGAACAATCTGCAGGACAGCTTCAGAGACTGTGACTCTGCTGAAGATTCTCATCACATCTCCTCTGACCACAGCTGAATCTGAGAGGAGCTGAACACTGAAGAGAATCCAGACTTTCCTCAGGTACACATCACATCACTGCACTGACCATGCTCTAAAGAAGAAGAATCTGGTTAAAACATCCCCGACTTTAACTAGAGTCATGAAGAAATTTTCTTCTCAGTAACAGAAGGGCAAAATTTATGTACAAAAAAAAAAACACTACGTGACATTGTAATGCTGTTTTATTATTTTCACTTGTTTAATAAATACACTGTTGTGATACAACTTAGTACGTTTGATTGCTTTTGGAGATGAGCCTATTTTGGAGTTGTAGCCCCACCTGGAGAAAAATCCACCAGTCGCCACTGATCCCCAGTCTATAAAAAAGTAGTGGAACGATTTGAGAGTAAYTTTACTCAGTAGAAAATTGGGAAGACTATATTCATCCCTTCATCTATACTTTATAGGAAACCACAGACACCACATCCTCCATATGGAGGTACAGAGGGACCATCCACCTTATTATCAGCACACACTTCAAAAGCCTGCCTCTCTGATGGTATGAGGGTGCATTAGTGCCTATGGCATAGGGAGCTTATACATATTACATCAATGCAGAAAAAATATATACAGTTTTAAGAACAACAWATGTTCATATCCAGAAAATGTTGTTTTCTAAAACCCTTTAAGAAAATGTTAAACCARATACAGCATCCATGATTTTGTAATAAAAGTCCAGGTGCTGAAATGGCCAGCCTGCAGTCCCTCTCAGCAAATGAAAACATTTATTGCATCATGAAATAAACAACCAGACAAAACAGACCCAGGACTGTTAAATAAACTATTTTCCAACATCATGTAAGAARGGGACAACAATCCACTTTAAAAACTCCAGCAACTGGTCTCTTCAGGTTTTAGACTTTTATAGACTGTTGTTAAAGGAAGAAGAAATCAATSACAGTGGTAAACTGAGATGTGTTCCTACCATCATATTCAAAATTGCCAGTTTTTTTCTTCTTGCTTTAAATATTTGAAACATTTTTAATTGTTAATCAAAAAATAGTTTYTAAGAAAAGTCCTAACTTGATTGGAATTGGGGTCGTAAACCGGCAGAAGACAGGATGATTTATGGTCGTCTGGATTAGCGCAGAGAAGGGCGCGCTGTGATAAAAGATCTCTGTGACGCAGCATGTGATGTCTGGCTGTGTCCTTCTTACAGCTGGCGTCTGGCTGCGAGAAGGGCACTCTGAACACTCTCCGGACATGTTCATGTGAGGCGAGCAACAGGGAAGAGCATCATCCCTGCAGATGCTGGCCTTATGACGTTTCACATGAGAGAAAATTGTCCCCGTTGTCTCCCCTTCATGCTTGCCTGGTTCCTTGTACGACCGAGGCCCACGACTGGCAGTTTGTGTGGCAAAATGAAGGCTTGGGAACTTTTAAGGATGCCTACATCAAAGTAGCTGAACGCCTGGTGAAAATGGCTGATGGTGGAATTATCAAATTAATTATTCATGCCAGGAAAATTGATGGTTTTACCGCTGAGGCTTTTAACAAACTGGTGATACAAGGAGGGAGTGAAACACAGATAAAGTTGAGGGTAAATCGGGGATAYAAAAATAAATAAACCCCTGCAAGACAGAGGACACATGAATGAGGACACCTTAAAAACGAGGTCAGCGCCAACGCCTAGAGGCACCAGCAGCAACCAGCATGCATCTTGAAAATGTTATTAAATGCCACAGCAGCAGGCGTGTTTTCTTTTGTGAGCTCTCGTTAATGTTCTTGTGGCGAATGTGTAAAAAAAATGTCACTTTAGGAACCTCATTCACCTGAGGTGTTGCAACAATTTTGGTCTTGAAGTGCCTGTGGGTTAGATGACTAATGCTTTGCACCATAGTAGGTGATAAACCTCCGAATTTGCATGTTGAATGTTAAACTGCGCATGAGGATAAGGGGAAGATCATTTTTCTGTGTCTATCAGGAGTATGCACCTTTCTGTGATTGTCTCCCTCAGTCCACTGGCCACACCCTTCATCACAGTGCTCGCCTTCGGCGTCAGGACCACCTGAGAGACGAAGAATGTCCCCTTCCTCCTGCAAAGGAACAGGTCAAACATTTACTTTTTCTTGACCTAGAATTTTTTTCACTTCATTAAATCAAGGACTCCTAATTAATGCATTCCTTCAAAGAATGCTAGACTTTTAATTTTTTATATTTTCATAAAATAAACTACTTATTTCATTTACCTTTAACTTTAGGGATGTTCTGATACCATTTTTTCCTCAAACCGATTACAACTATAAGTATTCGCCAATAATGACTGGTACAGAGTACTTCCTGAGTGAATTAAACATTACACAATGACTTTAAAAACACATTTCTTTAATTTACAACAAGGTGGCTCTGCTTTCTTTTAGTTCTACAGCTCCTCTGACAATCAAATCAAATATAAAGCATCAGATTTGATAGTTTAACTGTCAACTTGTATACATTTTTTAAACATGGACCTGACAAACTTTTTTATTTGAAATGTAAATTGCAACACATTCCATTGAGTATCGAATCTGGTACCAGTGTAAGTATCASGTCACCACTAACTTTAAAGGGGGGTTTTATGCATTTTTGTTCAGTTATATACAACAACCAAGTTACTATGTTACCTTCAGTTGTTAAAACTTTCTGTATATATCAAAAATAATTTTGACTTTGCATCATAGTTCATCTAAATCCTTTCTAATTGGCCTTTGTCTTTTTAAGAACTTCCTACCGTTTCCGACACTCCCACTTCAGCAAGTKTTCACAACAATGCTTAACGTGCTCTGTGGGGCGGGAGCTTGYRCGGGGACTGAGCTCCAGGGAGGAGCTTTGTACAAATAGGCGYTGCTTTGTACCAGCAAGTGTTTAGGCAGCTCCKCATGGCTACCACAGGAGATTCAAGGATTTCTTAAACATGCATGACTGAGTCAAAGCAACACTCTGGGTTTGCTTTTGATGAGGGATAAGCTTTATAACATGARATWAACTAAAAAAAGCCAATTTTGCATTGTACCCCCTTTTAACAGAACTCTAACAGAACCGAAAAGTTTTGTCCCATTCATAATCTGTGTACCAACAAACCTGCGATCAGTTACAGACGCCTGCAGGAACTGAACCAACTTCTCTGGGTCGGTGGTGTTTGCCCATGGAGCCGGCATCATCTGACCCGGCCACAGGAAGGGCACCTCCAGCGCCATGGGGTGGTGGTAGAAAACAAGCACCTGGTACTCCTTCTCCCACAGATACTTCAGAGTCACCTGAGTGAGGACAGAGAGGCGACAGCTACAGTATGTGGTGGGAATTCAAACCTTTCTGCTCTGRGAAAAGAAAAACTATCCAACCACGAAGATGTTATCTACAAAATCCAGTAGGGGGAGGATTATTCTGAGACAGTGCTTTGCTAAATTCAGCACTGCACTACATTTTATTGGGCGTGTTTTGGTTATTGCAATTATATGCTTTAGTTTATTTGTGTGCAGGAGATAAAAGTATGTACTTATTAGTTTTTTTTACTTTACAGCCTGCACTTGGCTCCTTTCATAAGCTTTCTTCAAAACTCTTATCTCATAAACAAGGAATAAAATGCTCAAACAGAAAAACATTTTAAGAAACTAATAAGAAAACATTACTAATGCTGTGACAGAAAGAGAAAGGTTGTGTAATATTTGTGTCTTAATGACAGCATAAATTTTTCGTTATCTTGATGAAAAAGTGCAAAGTCATCAAAATAAACGCTGCATTTTTGTGCTTAAACTGTGATCATGTCTTTGTCTGTTCATTTTCCAAAAGTGGATGTTGCATTTGTCGAGCCCAGATCACGTAAGATCTCTGTTTTTGAGGAGGTTGTTTTTGTACTCGCATGTGTACAGAAGTTTATTCTTTCACGTTTTGGCATAAAACTGCTTCTATAATGACTAGAATTTTTTTTGTTTGCTTGTATCAKCATTATGCCAACATCACATTTGTCATTTAAGCAAACACAAAATGATTCAACAGTTTTCTGTTTTTGTGYCGCATTGGTGTTTGTAGCCAAGTTTTTTTTGATTGAAGAAGGGGCAAAAATGACGTCTTAGATGGTTTGARTTAATGTGGAAATCAAGATTAAAATTCTTTTTGAAGCTCGTTYGAATGAGGAAGTAAGATAAGAAGACGACAAAGGGATGAAGGACTACAAAGTCTTCCACATGTGGTGAAGTGGGGGGGGGGCAGAGGGGAAGAAAATGGGATTTAGGAACAGTGGGGAGAGAAAAAAAGGATTCCAGTCATTTGCTTTTTCTGAAATTAAACACCACTTTACACGTCCCTGCAGCTCCTAAAATCATTATTTTCATGAATCTTTATATCTCATTCGCTTTTTTGCTTCTGTTTACTTCTTCCTCTCTCAGCTGCAGCCACTGAAGGAAAACTATAATGTTTGACTGATGACATGTGAGTTGTAAAGGAGCTGATGAGTTTTTGACCGATTACTCCCTATACAGTTATAAAGTACACAGAAAGGAGGGGTTAGTGGGCAAAAAAAGAAGGAAGAAATGGATGGGAAGGTCATACAGAGGGAAAAAAACAGAAGTGAAACTGACTTTATAATGCTTTACGTAAAAAAAAAAAAAACTTGTTTGGAGTGAGAAAAAGTTCAAACTGTTTGTACCTCTTGAGCGAAAACAACTGGACAGAGTTTCTCCCCAAACACCTCCTTCAACATGGCCACCAGTTTTTCATGGTGCAGGTTCTGCACGCCGTAGAAATGGTTGAAATCCAGGAAAACGACTTCTTTGGCGTGCGCTGACAGGAAACTACTGATCTGCTCCAGGCCTTCTCGTACCTGGACACAAACGCACCTGGATTAATGATTACTTCACTGGCATAACGGCTTTGAAATCTAGATGCACGAACAGCTGTGGCTTTTCTACTTGAACTCAAAATACGCTGCGTGATCAAGCTCTCAATCTGCACTTCAACAAACTGTTCAACAGGCTGCCGCCTGCTTTACATAAAAGAAATAACATCACTTAGCAACAACAAGCATAACTAAACAGTCATTCCTTTAAAAAACATTCAAAGACTGGGTGCTCTCTGCTGACCGTGGCACTGAAGAGCCCGTGGGCGAAGAACAGCTCGTTGTCGGGGTCGCGAGGCTTGGTGGAGATGCGCAGGTCAAAGAAGCGGATTCCAGCCTCCAGCTGGCTGATGAAGTTCATAGTCTGCGTAGCCAGCCACTTTCTCATTAGCTTCTTGGCTACCGTGCCGAAAACAGAAACAAAGTTCTGCACCGTCTCCGGCTGCTCGGGGCCCACCGGAGAAGCCTCGTCGATGTAGAAACTGAAGGAGTCGTGGGAACCTGAAAGGGAACAATAAATGTTGAGTTTGCACGCAGGTACAGACGAATGCAGGTTTTATTTCTGATGAAAGCGAGGGGTCAGTTCAGGAGCACAGCGCTGCACCATGGAAACAAGTATCAGAACAACAGCATCAGTGAAAGAGCACAGTCTGAAAACATTGAAGTCTGACCACTTGAACTGAAGCGACTGAAGCAACTCTTTGTCCATCATGTTCCTCAGAAATAAAAGAAAACAACAGAGCTGCACCTTTCACTTTTATTTAGCACTGAATAGCTTTTTTCTAGTTTAGCTATTTTTGAATTGCAGTTTGTTCTTTGCTCGTTGATAATCTGCATTAAAATATGTACGAAATCAATTTCCCCTTTTAATTCAAAAACATCAGTTTGACATGAAATTTCTTATCTAAAATATTTTTCCCCAAACACTGAAGCCTTTTTTCCCCCAGATGAATGATTCTGGTTATAGTGATTCTGTTTTACAATGCTTAATAGTTAATAACATTGATATGAAAGTAAAGAACATGCTGCTGAGAACTATTAAAAATTTTATGCTTTTCCTAGATTTTAACGAACACTTAACCCCAAGAAAGATTTTTCACTGAATTTGATGTGAAAATATTAGAATTCATAAAAAAATCTGTAATAGAGTACAACCTTTTGACTCCATCAAACCAAGAACAAAAATCCACCCACTGAAATGATCTGTGGTCAATGTATCAATCAATCTAAAGTTTGAGAATTAATTGCCCTTTTTTTCTTTCTGAGAATGTTAAATACTTTATAATCAGCTTGATAAAGGCAATAAGTCTTATTGGTGAAAAAATAAAAGAATGTTCTTTTTAGGTCACAGGATCACTCTGGCCTGGGGCCTTTTTGGGTGGAGTTTGCATGATCTCCTTGTGCACCCGTGGGTTTTCTCGGGGTATTCCGGTTTCCTCTCATAGGTCAAAAACATGCATGTTACATTGATAAAAATGTCCCTATGGATGGATGGATGGATGGATGGATGGATGGATGACAAAACAGTACTACTAGTTTTACTGAATGTAGCTCGTGTCTTAAATATAGTAATTTTACTTTATAGAAGACAGAAACAAGGTTTTATGTAATTATTCTGTATTGATGGATGGTTATTCTATCATACAACATATTTTATTATAAAACCCCAGTTGCACATCTGTATTTCTGATTTTTGTCTCAGATTTTAGAAATTCTTTTAAATTAAATAGMTGTGACTTCCTTCCTCTGTATAATCTGGAGACGTTCATTTAAAGTGCTCACACTGCTTTATGAATGATCGTTGCAGTGTTGTCCCTTATTTATCTCACTGAAATTATGTGTCTTGCTCTTTTTCTCTCTCGTTGCCATGACTCTAAAATTATTTGTGAAATGAAAATGTATACTTTCCTTTTAGTTTAGAAAGAGAAACCGTCCATATGGTTTGTCCACAAATGTTTGATTCAAAAGTAAAGTGATAGACTTATAATTTCAGACATTATATTGATTTTATGTGCTTCAGATTTTAGATAATGCTTTATATTCAAGTTAAAAGCAGGTCTGCTCTGACTTTACAAAGGTGATGGACAGTTACAAGAATCTTTATTATCATTCCAAAAATCTAAATATTTGTGGAAAAGAAAAAATGCAGGATGGTGAACTGAAAATTCAGCAAAGGTGCAAACATTCATCACSAAGTATGCCTCATTAATAGAATAAAACATCCAGGAGTCAAAAAACATCTGAAAAAAGCCAGACTAGTTCTGTTTTTGCAGATTTAATTAAGATCAGGTGGAAGAAACTAAGATCCTGGAAGAATAAGAAAAAATATGGCAAATACTTCTTTTTAATTCAAATCATCTGATAGCAGCTGTAAAATGTGTGTAGAGTAAAGTAATTCAATAATACTGGATTAATGGTGTTCATTAATCATAGAGAACAGAAGCAGCCAGATGAATTATGAAATCTAAAATAAAAGGTTGTCAGATATGATTCATCTAAACGATGCTACAATGACCAGACAGTGCTTCAACAAACAAAAGCACAGTGACCCAGAAGATGATTGTGAAATCAAACCAGGAGGTTTTGAAAGTAAAAAACGTGGAATATTTCAGTCAGTCACTGATCTAAATTAGATGCAACAAAACTAAAACCTGAACAAAGCAACTTAAACCAAATGGAGGAAAAGTCTCGTAGATAATTCTGAAGATTCTGAACCTTATGCAGCCACACCCTTCAACATATTAAAATGACTAAAATAAACAGTTATGTTAAATTAAATGCTTTCTCATAGCTAAATGTAACACACAAAGCTCAGGTAWGATTAACTGTCTTTACAACTCAGTATAAAATGCCTGAGAATGCCACTAAAACTCGTTTTGAGCTCCAGGTGATTGCTTCATGTTTCCTAGATTTGCAGTTGTTTCAATAAATAAGCAAGAAGTTATTGAACCATCTGATAAATGATTCCAAGTTCGTTCCTCTTTTTATTTTAAATCAACAACAGAACAGTAATCAATTATTATTGATAATTTTATAATAAACCACTTACTCTCTGTTTATTTTCACCGAGAACAAAGGCCAAAAATATATAATCATCCATTCAGTTATTACAGAATCATCCATTTTGACTGAGTCATAAATGTAGTTGAGGTTTTGACTGAAATGAGAGAAAAATAAACTGAGAAAAACTGACTAAATGCCTGTTTACAGTCAATTGAACAAACAAAGCTGATGTTACGTTGCTTAAATGTTTCTCACAGTTATTTTACAGTCAGTGTTTTTTAGCACCATAATTCACAAACCAGTTAACAAAAAATGCCAGTTTTCTTGTTAGCAACTTGATGTTTTGCAACACATAGTTGAGTCTTAACCAGGACTTTGGGAACCACTTGTATAAAGAATCAAATTCACAATCCGTTTTTTTTTCTTCTTCCTGGATCTGTCGCTGAAGAGTTTAATGTTTAAATCTTTGAAACGCCACATTTTAGTGACTTCAATGAAAAAAGAAGACCTTCAAAAGACCTAACAAACTATAGGAGCTACTATTAGCTTGTCAAAAAACAAATGCATTCTTTGGTGAAACTTGAGCATCTCCTGAGGTTTACGCTCTCAGTTAAATGTAAAGGTTGTCGTCCCGTTGTGCACGCTTCAGATAGTTGATGTGCACAAATTATACCAATTAGCTCACCCTGTCCTTGTCACTGCAAATCGCTGCTGTCTCTTCACTGCGTTTCATCACTTTTCAGACAAACGACCCCCCTCCTCCCACCATCGCCAACACCACCTTCTGCCACCACGCTGACATATATCCCAAACTGACCTTCAACTATCTAAACACCAGTTCCAGGTCCTTACAGTGGGCACAAAGAGTGACCATAAGCAGGGTGGACAGCTGGATCCTGCGGCAGAGAAGCAGACCGCATCACTGCTGGCTGAGCACAGCACCGGGGTCAGAGAGGAACACAGCGTGACCTTAACCAGCTGCAGCAGCCACATCTGATGGTGTGTTTTGGGCTCAGAGGTTCGTGCATAAAAAAAAAGAGAATTGATATCACGATTCACTAGAGGACTTTTACTCAAGAATGCAGGTAGGGTAGACCAGGGACAGTTGCAACATATTTTTTTACGTTTGACTCTGTTACTCAGAGATGGTTTGAATTAGACAAACCAAATTTTAATACAATAAACTTACATCTGTCTGTTAATAGTCAAAACTAGATGAATAAAGAATGTACATTCTTCACTATTTCCATTTGAAAATAAAAAGTTAGATGTTAGAACTGACTCAGGTGCCAGGGACAGTTGCAACATTGTTTGGGGGTGGTTGCAACGTATTATTAGTACAATATATTTCACTGTAAATAAAAGTTTTATTATTTTTCTATTTATATTATTGCTAAATTTATAAGAACTGAGAGTTATAATATGACAGTGTTATTTATTTATTCTTTTTGATCAACTTATGAATATCAATTTGCCTTGATGAGAAGACCTGATAAACAGATGTCAAAGACTCAAATTGATATAAAACACAGTTGGCTTTTTGAGACAAGGATAAATAGAACAATTTGTGAGGCAATTAACTTTTGTTTTGCCTATTTTCACTGTATGCCTACATTACGCTAAATTTACATTGAAAGAAACTGGGATTTTAAAACCATTGTTGAAAACAACAACTGCAGAAAATACATCTTAAACACTTTTATGTTTTAAATTATAACATTGTCATGAATACCCAATACCCTTTTAAGTGTACACTTAATTTCAACATCTTAAAGGGATCCACGATTTGTTGTAACATTAAACTTTATTTGATAAACATTTATTTTAACTGTAAAATAAAGACTGTAAATATACTGTAGGCTATTTAGTTTTGTAATTTTTTATTAAATGTTAACATGGACGGAGCCATTTTATTTACACACAAAGCATTCTGGGTAAATGATGACATCAACTAGGTCATCGGCGCGAGGCTGCTAACGAGCTATATCCACCCTGAAGGTTAATCTTGGACAATATCTGATGATCGACTCTTTTAAATGAAACCAGAGAGCGTTGACAGAGAGGAGAAGGTAGAAAAGCCTATTAGCCTTCGTGCTAGCCCTCATGCTATATTTCCTTATAAAATTGCCTAAAAAATTATAAAAACTGAACATCCTACAGTATTTTTACAGTCTTTATTTTACAGTTAAAGTATATGTTTATCATATAAAGTCTAATGTTACAACTAATCAAGGATCCCTTTAAGGTGCAGGAGCAGATGGGCCGGCCTCCACTGAAAGTAATTCAAGAGGTGGATACACGTTGTAACAGCACATACCTAATGCTCCAACATATTTATGACCTCAGGG